GCAAGACACTTGTTCCTCAAGTGGTCTTATGTTGAAAGGCTTCTTCAAACAAGAACATTCCTAAAGTTCCCAGAACTTGATTGAAGCAGGCTGTTGTTTTTCATAGAGACAGCTTATCCACATGACTTTAAAACTGCAGGAGCATCCCTGCACTTATGTTTGGCCCATGCTAATCTGTAATGGAATGGAATTCTATACCATTAAATGTTCCTGCTACATTTTTAATGGATGGCTGTCCAGTTAGCACAAACAAGGCTTAGCTTACAAGATCACAGAATACAGCCAACCACTTTTATAATGATGGTGACATAGTGTTCCACCAACTGACATGTACAGAGGCAGCAGTAAAACAACTATCAATAATTAAGTTTAACCGTGTTGGTCGTTTAGAATCATTATTGCCTTCACTATGCCATAGTCCTGGAGAATCCATTAACTTATAATAATGAATTAGTCTTTTTCACTGCCTTTTTTGGCAAGTATTAGGATTTTCCATGAATCCTGTAACTGTTGTTACATATTTGTGAACTAGAAGATCCTTGGTTTTGGCAAGTATGCACCTAAACTGCAATATTATAATACTGATGCCATGGAAACAGTACCTTAAATAAAAAAAAACCACCATATGCATCAAAATATCTTCTACAGCCAAACTGGATATTGGAATATCAACCACATATATAAAAAAACCAATGATCGAGACAGGATTACATGATACCTCGGACTAGCTGGTGTGTACATCTCCAGGTATTCAGAAATGTCCTTGTTGAAGGATTACCTTAAATCACATCAATGAGTCAATGCTTAGCTATTCTGAGCCTTTTTTCTACAGTTTAAGAGTTTCTGGCACTTAAACATTTTGGCCCCAATAAATGTTATTTTACTAGATGGTAGGTCATGAATCTTGAAAGGAAAAATAGATCCTGTAGCCAACCTCATTCACACTGCAGCAAATAGGCACACTGCACTGTTCACACTGCAGCAAATGGGCACACTGCACTGTTCATACTGCAGCGAATAGGCACATTGCACTGTTCACACAGCGGCGAGTAGGCACACAGCACTGTTCACACAGTGGCGAGTAGGCACACTGCACTGTTCACACTGCGGCGAGTAGGCACACTGCACTGTTCACACTGCGGCGAATAGGCACACTGCACTGTTCACACTGCGGCGAATAGGCACACTGCACTGGCCTTATACTCTAATACGTCAACGAATGGAATGAGACGGTACTTTTTGATTGGGATGTTAATGCAATCAAAGTAGCCTTGTACATCCTTGGCTGTGCAATGGGCTTTTTTAACAGACATATGTATAAATTCGGTTCTAGTGAAACCATGTAAGAACCACCGGCCAGATGTACTTTATTAAACAGAGCGTCTATTTACTGAAACAAAGTAGCTGATGTTGAAATTTCTGAACCGGACAGACAAACTGGGCAGATAAATTGCATCAGGCCATGTGACTTTCCGACCTCTGACCCCAAAAGCTGTTTCAAAGGTAAAGTTGTCCTTTCCTAAGATGTGGCCCATGTAAAACGACACTTATTTCCAAAGTCTCAGAAAGCTCCCAGACATTACACAACTGATGAAGTGATGAGATGTGAGGTCACGTTGCCCTTTAACGAATCCCATGGAGTCGATTTACATTGCTATATGATTACATCACTATAATATAGAATATTCAAGGGTCTATAAAAGAACACATTAATCTGAGACATGTCAGGAGGATAGATTCTTCTCATAGTACTACTGGTCACCTATATTCCCTGATTGTCTTTCACCTTCATTAAAAGCTTACATCAGCCTACAGTTGAGCAAAATCATTAACACAAAGCTTATTTATACTAAAGTGCTAAATATCTCATGTAATTTATTGAATAATCATAGCCATTGCAAAGTCAAAATATCGTAACACGGACCATCGTAAACCCGGTAGCGCCCATATGTTATGGTTTGCTTGTTAACAGCACTGGATTTTAGAACGAGCCACTGAGTAACTTTGCACATGGGTAACATAACATGATACTATACACAAGCCCTGGTGTAGGAGTATGGCTGTCTAACTAGCTGTCCACAGTACTGTGTACAAAGAATGATTTGTTTTTGCAATGACAGCTGTTTAGCATGAGCTGTATAACAGTAGGCAGAACACACTCAATGGTAAGCCCTTTTATTTTTCCATTTTCGCAACACTAGAATCAACATGTCCATTTCTGAAACCCTGCATCGCTTATTGTTTAAAGAGGGAAAATATTGAATACTGCACAAAAATAACGAAAGACTAAAATTAGTATATTGGATATAGCCAACTACAGAATGCTGTCTGTTTAAGGGATCAACATGCCAGGGATAATAAAGACGTAATGTTAAATCCACAAGCCTGTCAATAAACGGCTAAAAAACGGAATGACCTCGGGAAAATGTAGCATGCACCTGACCCTGTTTGCACTGGCATGGCCTTATGAAGTGAGGTCACCACTGGTTCAGCCTCCTTCCAGCCCAGAAGGTGCCGCAGTTTAAGAGCTTCTGCACTGCAAGTGCATCATAAATATAAATCCTGGCCACACAACTGCATTAACTGTATTAATAGCATTTTCCTTCTTTAGGCAAGACAGTGATGCTCATACCACTGCATTCAAGACCATAGAACCTGTTTTCTTGCTTATTTCTTTGCAAAGGAAAGAAAAAATACCATAGATAAAAGCCAGTGTTTTTTTTTATAGATATAATTCCTAATTCAAATTTCATGTAGGGACAGTAGACACACATCAACTGTTACTTACGAAGCTGTACATTTATAAAATAAAACTATGTATAGTTTCTATGGTAACACTTTAACTGCACCTTCATAATGCATGCATTACTCATTCATAGAACATTCAATGCATCGTCATATGATTATACAATTATAATATTTGTTATCATATAATGTCTGTTATTAATGTATATTAAAGTTGTTACAGTATGTTAGGATGTTAAGGTATACATATATATATATATATATATATATATATATATTTATATATAAATATATATATATATATATATTTATATATAAATATATATACATACACACACACATATACATACACTCACACCAAACATCTTGACAACTTACAAATAAGCAGACATAATTCTAGAAGTTGTTAAATGTAACTGTATCTCTAAATCAACATACTTTCCGTTAAAAAATGTGGTTAAATATAACAAACCACTATTGGAAACATCAGAGTTAACACTGGTTTTCCATTGACCAGCACACTGGCTAGCATGCAGCAAACCTCCCCAAAGCCAACTGGATTGGGAATCTCAATACAGTAGTCTAAATAACTGACAGTTTCCGTGTGCCTCATCAGCTCTGCTTTTCAGTGTGACATGAAGACCAAGAGCATGCTGGAAAATGTGGCCAGTTTAGCTACCCTGACCTCCATCCCTCTTCCATCCACACACACACACCTACGAGTCTTTTCATTTTTATTCCATAAAACATCATTACATTACATTACATCTTAACTTCTTTAAAATATAGCTATATATAGGACATTTGACCACAAGAAGATATCCACAATACCCATAAGTGTTCACAAGAAAATGGTTTTCTGTCAAGCCTGGTTATATGCTCATGCGAATATACACAATGAATGATAAATCATTGACCAAGCCGATATATAAACCCATTAATTACTTGAACACTTCCTCTGTTGACAGGACTCATGTATCATTGTGCTTAAGTTTTCAAGTGTTTAAGCCGGCATCTCACAATACCTTCCTGGCACCGATAGCCAGCTATCGTGAAAAGCAAAATAAACCTGAAAATCCATGGGGTTTCCAGGGACACTTCAAAGAAGACATGCTAAGCTGACTCTATAAAGGCCTCGGCGGTATGGCGTTTCACTACTGACAGACATAAAACCAACCCTTTGCTCGCTTTAAACTTTTTCCGAAAAAAGGTCTGAAAGTCAAGTACATAGATCTTTTTTTTTGGATACTTAATAAGGTGCAGCAATAAAAACTCTAGGAGTGAAAGAAGAGGGTCTGAACATTCTCCTTCTGCCCTATACAGTGCGCTCATTATGTACAGCTGGGATACAGAAAAACGGTAGCAAACGAAAGGGTTATTTTATCCAATTCTCAACATCGCTAGTAAAAATGTGCTTTTGTCATTAAAGAAGAAGCTCTCTGCTTCTGTATTCAAATGCCCTCTGCCAGACGCATTACAAAAAGGTATGGCAGTAACAGAAATTAAACTGAAAGCTCTATATTCAGATGGGAAGAAAAAAACTGAAAAGAACAGTAAAAAGAGAAGCTGTGTAGTGATAAAATAAACCTAAAAACAATTAAATTGACATCCCTTAAAAAAAATCATGTTCTGCATTGTTCTGTATGATTAGTGCTATGCATAATATATAGTGATATATATGCAAAAATTGCACATGTATTCATTGCAGAGCAAGATTTGTAGTCTTTCTACTTGAGGTTTAAACAAGAGCTACACATCTTTTTTACAGCATCATATATCAAAAAGCCATCCAACTTTTTTTTTTTATCTCAGAGTTGGTGCATAAAAAGTCATTTTTAAGGAAAAAAGGCGTCAGATTTGGCGTACAAGTACAGTATGACAGTAACATTCAGTGCTGAACAAAGAACCAAACAATCATACGACCCTCTTTTCTGTCTAAGGAACCTCGATCATTAATATATGAGT